GCTCTGGATCTTTGACCAGTATTTCTAGCATTACTAGGCCAGACGTAGTTTACCAGTCTGGGGTCATTTAAAGCATAGGCAATGTTGCCTAGTACAGGTAACACTGCTGACCCTGCCATTTTTATTGGGTGTCCAGGAGAACAGAGCTAGAGAATTAGCCTAAGGTCAAATTCTCCTGTAGAAGGAGGAAGGATTTAAACTTCTGTCCCTAACTGGGCCTCCCAGATGTTTCCTTTCTGCTTTAAGCAGTCATGGTAGTTTCAACTTTTGCAACTAAGTATCCATCAGGTAGTGCTACTTGTATCAAGATCACCTCCACTCAGTTGCATTCTGATATACATTCCTTAGAGGAAAAGAACAGAGTTACAGCTAGCATGCCCCGAGTTTTCCATAAACTCTAGCAGGTCCAGGGGAATACGTTGAAATTTGAGTCTCACTTGTCACATACATCACGGATGAAAAAAATTGAGAAGTGATGTGTTGGGGAAATCTTTTGGTAGAGTATCACGGAAGATGTATTTGGGTGGCATTGACTTCTAATGCCTGTTATGTTTGCTTTATTAGCTCTGTTTCCTCAAATGTAAATTCTTCCATTTGTTAACACTATTGTATTTTACACCACTAGTTTTCCTCTAAGAGTGGAGGACTTGTATACTTGTGTTTGTGGTTGAGATTCCCCTGGAAGACAACCTGCCACATCTGTTTGTACATCATGCTTACAGAAGGGGTGACAGCTTCCTGGGAATAAATTCTGGGGTTTTTTCAGTGAGATTGGAGAAGAGCAGGATAACCTAATTTTCTCATTTCCTACTACCTGTTCCTCCCAGGCATTACTAGCTACCTGAGACAACAAAAGACTCCCATTTATCCTACTATTTTTTCTTTTTCTTTTCTTTTCCTTCTTTCTTTCTTTTTTTTTTTTTTTTTTTTTTTTGGCTGGGGCCAGGTTTGAACCTGCTGCCTCCAGTATATGGTGCCAGTACCCTACTCCTTTGAGCCACAGGCGCCGACCAACTGCCCCGTATATTTTCATTTTCTGTTAACAAATTACTAAATCACCCATGACCAAAGACATCCAAGGATCACTGTTATTTCCAGTAATGATATAAGGGAGAAAAAGCTAATCCTAGACTTCAGATGATTCTATTTAACAAAAGTAACCTCACAAGGCCCCTACCATGAAAATTAGGGTGTTTACATTTGTCATTACTATTTGGAAAATAAATAGTGCCTAAGTATAATCTATTTGAGTTTATTTTTAATTTTTGTTAATGTTTTAGAGACAGGGTCTCACTTATGTCATCCAAGCTGAAGTACAGTGGTGTAATCATAGGTCACTTCAGCCTTGAATTCCTGGACTCAAGTCATGCTCCTTCTTGAGCCTCCTGAGTAGCTAGGACTACAGGTCATCATGCCACCATACCCAGATAATTTAAAAAAAAAATTTTTTTTTTTGTAGAGAAAGTGTTTTGCTGTATTTCCCAGGCTGGTCTTGAACTCCTGGACTCAAGTGATCCTCCTTCCCTGGCCTCCCAAAGTGCTGGGATTACAGGTGTGAACCACCATATTTGGCCTGAGTTTTTTTTTTTTTAATACAAATATTTAAGGTACCCGAAAAATTTTAGAAGTTCAAGAAATAGTAGCCAAAGATCTGGAAGGCTTCAACTACAGAAATCTCACACTAGCACTGAACTTCTTCAAAACCCCACCGTGAAAAGTGAAACCATCTAAAACAAACACAGCAACTCTAAAGCTGTGTCCACGTGAAGCAGTGACACGGTGCACGTGGGCAACTTGCAGGTGCTCCAGCCAAGACAGGTGCTCTGACAAGACGAGAAGGCTCCAGGAATAAAACAACCCATATGTCACCATTATTTCCCAGACTTTCTGCTGGGCATGGATGAAAACAGATAACATACAGCCCCAGTTCTTCCACTGGAAATCCTTGTTTAGAGGTTTGGTAAAGAGCTGGTGTTAATAAACACTTGCCTGAAATAGTCTGAGGCCCTCTGTCCTCTGAAGTTCTGCCACGTGCGTGTGTTTTCAAATCCTAAATATCAAAGCCGATTCCATCAGGAAACAGGAAGAAATAGCTATTCCTCTAGAAAGCTGGGGCATGGGCTTACGCATGGGCCATGATAACAGTATTTTAGATTTTAAAAATTATGTGGAATATGTGCGATAGGCCACTTTGGAGGGATGAGGGTTCCCCTTGTTTCAGGAAAGGCACTGAGTGTCTTAGTTCTTATTTTACGGATGACAAAGAGAGGTTCAAAGAGGTGGAATAACTCGTTCAAGGTCTCAGAGACACCGGAAGCTGAGCTGGGATGGAAATCGAAAGGGCTCTCTGACTTCCAAATACACAGGCCTTGCAGAGGACCAAAGCGAACGGAACGCAGAAAATGTTCAGCTCTGCTGTGTGTTTTGTGCTGACTCTGGAAAACTCAACCCGGGATGAATAGAAAGAATAAGATAATTGACTCCAACCAATTCTGGGAGAGGTTCTCTTTGCTCTCCTTGTCAGCTCATGCCCTTTAAAACTTGTCCTAGAAGGTTTGGAATCTTTAGGGGGTGTCCTTCAACGTACAGCAGGTCCAAGTCCACTCTGAATCCAGAAATAGACTGAAGAAGAATAAAGGACATGTGTGGACATGTGTGACAGAAAATGCCACAGACGCCAGGCAACTGTGTTGAGTGGGAGCAGGGAAGACGTCTCATGAGCTGATTTCCATATTAGTTTCAGTCTGGTGGCCTTGGGAGTATGGTGATCACAGCCCTTTTCCCTTGGTTGGTTGGTTATAAGATCAACTCATAATTACAGCAGATTAACAAGAGAAAGGTTTTTCTCCCCCGCATACCATGGGCATGGAGGGAACCAAAAGAATGATGTCTCAGCGATGGTCAGATACTTTATAGATGTCTTTTTAAAGGGAGGGGGAAGAATGTGGGTGTTGGGAGAATGAATAGACAGGGATACAGATTGACTTGTAAATTAACCCGGAGACATGTATTGTGTTTTAAAAGATTTGGGGCCAGGTCTGCTAGCATTCAGGGGAGGAAAGGAAGTCAGTTGCCCTCTTTGGTCCCCTGTTCTGGTCAGTTTGGTTTTATGCAGATAGAGGGCAAGCCCCTTCCAATGCTTTCAGATTGTGAATGAGCATTAATTCAAAATAATCTTTTTTTTTTTTTTTTTTTTGCAGTTTTTGGCCAGGGCTGGGTTTGAACCCACCACCTCTGGCATATAGGGCTGGCGCCCTACTCCTTTGAGCCACAGGCGCTGCCCAATTCAAAATATTCTTTACATTAAGTAGTCATATTTGGGTGTAAATTTCCTTAGCTCCTTCAAGGGGGATGGAGCCGATCAGACGGTTATTAAGACCCCCATGCAAGGAGACCACTGAGACATCAAACGGAAGTAGAAGGAATGGGGTCCTCGGTCACGCCCTGGCCTGGGGGGTTGGGTTAGGAATAGAGAAATGTTGCAGATGTCACCCTCCAGGACACCTGCTGGCCAGCTAGAAGTGGTTAGGGAAAGGAAGGAGTGTGGGTCGAATCCCAGTTTTCTAACTGGGGTGACTAGGCTGATGGTTAGTGCCATTTTTTGAGTCTAGGAAAAAAGGAGGTATGGTGGGGGAAAGAGGATGGGTTTAGTTTTGAGATGGCTGTCAGTGTCCCAGATGGAAAAGTTCCACAGACAAGGGGATCAATGGATTTTTTCATTCTTTCACATACGAGCTGGTGAGCTGGCATCAGCTATGGAGTAATGGCCCAAACAGATGCATTCTCTGTCTTCATGAACCTTATAGGCAATAAACAGTCATGGAAATTCACACGTAATTACAGATTCCAGTAAGCAGGAGGAGGAAGGGACTAGGGCGCTAGGAGAAGAACCGCCCCGAGACTGAGAGACTGGGCAGTGGAAACAGAAAGTGGCTGTGTGGGGGGTGAGAAGGTTCTGGAGCTCAGAGGAGGCAGCAGTGTCTGACCGGAGATGCACAGGGGCCCACCTGCACTGAGGCAGGAGCTGAAGACGACGCCAGGGGTGAGTCAGGGAAACGGCACTCCAGTATGGGCTTCCAGGGCAGAGGGCACAAAGCTGGCCACCCCTCAGGCTGAAGCCAGCACCCCCCATCCTCTCAGATGATTTTTTGCCTTCGGGCATTTTGCCACCTCTCCATTTGGGGCATCTTACACATGAACCATATGCACCAGGGACCTATGATTTGGTGTGGATGGTGATTAAGTTAGTCCCAGATTGGATTGAAATACTGAAGCTAAAAAAAAAAGAAATTGACGCTAACTTGGGATTCTTTTTTTTAAACCCAAACCCATCTCTGCCTAGCCCATATTCTAATTAAGCCCCAGTTTACCGTGGCAGAAACCAAGCACCCAGTGAGATTTTCAGAACCACTTGGCATCAAGTAACAAAAAGGAAAACTATTGAGCCCCAGTTGGGAATGGTTCTGCTATGTACAAAAACCATCTGCGATAGTAATAATCAAAGGTAATATTTATTGAGCATTTACTAAGTGGGGGCCACTGTTCAATTCATTTACTTTCCAAATAGTCCTATAAAGCATGTACTCTTTGCATCCCTGTTTTGGAGATGAGGAAACTGAGGCACAGACAGATCGAAGCATTTTCCCAAGGCTTTTCCTTAGAAGATGAAGACAACTCCCACCCAAGGAAGTGGCACCCCCCCCAAGACCGTCTCCACAGGGAAGACACCCTGCCCTATACAGGGTCTTACCCTCTGGAATTTGCGGACTCACTCACCTGACCCAGGCCATTGTGATCCTGAATTGAACCAGCCTCATATAATCCCATTTCAAAGACCCACAGGGGTCTAAGATACCCCTCACGGCACAAGGTTCCCATCCAGACCCCTCCAGCATCGTTCCCCTGCCCCATGTCTGCCACACCCTGGAGGCAGGACCCACCCACCACAGGGCTGTGCTGGTCAGAGGGTTAGGGTTAGTCCAAGCCCGGGTAGTTCTTACCTTTCCACCTGGAGATTGACCTTGGAAGGCTCCACATTGGGGTTTTCCCATTCCATTTGCGGGCAGTGCATGAAATAGCAAAGGGTGTACAAGGCCTCCGGCTCCCAGTACAGCGCCCCCTGCTTGTGGTGCAGGGGGGTGCCGTTGCCATGGTGCTTGGCATGGAGGGGCTGCAGGTGATGCATTGCTCGGGACACCAGGTCACCTGTGGACAGAAGGGAGATTTCAGACCTTCCAGGAGGTCAACGGTGGCAGAGAAGCTGCACCCGATCTCTGAAGAGATTCTGCTCCTTAGAGTCCCTCAATCAGTGAAGTGGTCCCCCTGGTCCCCAACTCACACATCTATTCATTTACTACACAGGCTGATGGGACCTGGGGTGTTGTTTCAAGCAGGGGCTGCTCAGACCAATGTAATTCTGCTCTTGGATCCCTGTATGCCAATCACTGAGTGGAGCTGACAACACGCTGGAAGCCACGGTGCCTGGCTCCTGTTTGCTCTCCCTTGCCTGTGACACAGCATCTGTCACACCCTGTGTTGTGGCCAGAGACGCAGTCACAGAGTGGGCTGTCCTCTCTCGCCTCTGAGCCTGTGCATATGCTATTCCCTCTGTCCAGAACACTCTCCTCCCTCTTCTCCAGGCTGACTCCCACTAATCATCCAGGTATCTGCTTATAAATTAATTTCTCCAGGACACCATCCTGGAACTGCCCGACTCAGACTTGGTTATCACAATGCACTTTCCTTACTAAGACACATGGGGTGCAGTGGCCAGGTCTTGGTCCTTGAATCCGTGGGTATTGTGTGCTGGGTTGCTGGAGGGTAAGGTCATTATCCCAGAAGGAATTCCCTCTGTGGCTTAATGTACTTCCCTGCACTCTAGGCAGCTCCCTATACCAGACTCAGGGCCTAGGAGGGGCAAGGGGCTTTTCTATACCCAGGATTCCAGGAATCTCTCGCAATTCCATTTCTAAACTAACAAGTCACGCTATAAGCACTGGACTGAGAGGCCAGGGAAACTGCAGGATGCTTGGGCAAGAATCAAAGAACCAGAGACTCCTAGCTAGGAGTGGCCTTTGGGCTGACCCAGTCTGTTTTTTCCAGAGTCCTCTCTGTAGCATCCAGTAGTGGGAAACTACTATTAATACAGTGGAAGAACACAGAGCCATATGGATGGGGTCTCTATCCATGCAGGACTCCTGTAAATGCAGCAGAACTCCATAGTTGACCACCTCCCCAATTAACCACCTCTTCGAGTTGACATAATTTTCATCAAGTGGATATGCACCACATGTACACGTCAGTACGGCTGCCCTAGTTCCTTATGTTGACCACCCCTGGATGTCGACCAGTTTGTTACAGTTCCCCAGGTGGTCAGTTTACAGAGGTTCTACCGTAATAGTAACAGCTTCACAGGCACTGTGAAAAGTGCCCAAGATAAGTTGTTTTTAATCCTCGCAGTGCTCTATAACATTTGTATTGAAAAATTATTTCAATTTTGTCGTAGTGGTCCTCATCTGGGCTGATTTCGACTCCCAGGGGACGTTTAGCAATGCCTGGAGACATTTTTGATTGTCACATCTGGGGGCTGGCACTGGCAGCTGGTGAGCAGAGTTTAGAGATGCTGCTACACCCTGCAAGGCACAGAACAGTCCTCACTACATAGAATTCAGCCCCAAACATCAACCATGCCAAAGCTGAGAAACAGTGTTTTTACTGGGTAAGAAAACTGAGGTGGAAGTTTATAGGTTATTAAGAAGCAGACAGGATTCAAACCCCAGTCTGCAGGGCGGTGCCCATAGCTCAGTGGTTAGGGCGCCGGCCATATACACCGAAGCTGGCGGGTTCAGACCCAGCCTGGGCCCAGCTACAACAACAATGACAATTGCAACAACAACAAAAATAGCTGGGCTTTGTGGCAGGCACCTGTAGTCCTAGCTACGTGGGAGGTTGAGGGAAGAGAATCGCTCTAGCTCAAGAGTTTGAGGTTGCTGTGAGCTGTGACGCCACAGCACTCTACCCAGGGTGATAGCTTGAGACTCTGTTTCAAAGAACAAACAACAAACCAGGTCTGTCTGCTTCTAACACCTTGTGCTTTTCATAGTAACCTCAGCCCCTCGTTCAAAGGCAGCCCAATGCAGCCTTGGCCAGCTCTTAGTCCATCTTGAAGCAATTTAGCATTATGCAGCAAAGGTATTAACAAACACTCTTCCCTCCTAATTCAGTAATTCCATTTCTGGGACTCTGTCCCAATGTTTGAATTCAAAATGCAGCAAAATCTTCATGCACAAAAATTTGCATCTAAACCTTCCTTTCGGGATCCAAAATTTGACAAACAAATATTCATAAATAAAGAGAATGATTAAATAAACTCTAGTACCGCCACGTGATAAAATAATAATCTTATGCAGTCATTAGAAAATGTTTACATAGAACTGCAATATCATAAAAAGAATCCTCCACTTAAAATGTTAAGTAGAAAGAAAGCAAAATTCAAAATTACATACACGATAATCAGGATTTTGTTGTTAAAGCTTATGCACTAAGTCAATATTAACTCTAGGAAAAACACCCAAAAGTACTGACCAAGGAATTCTCTGCCTACTGAGATTGCAGAGGACACTCCCATCCTACTTTCTTGTAGTTTTTTGAACTTGAATTGTGAACATTTGAATAATGAGCTTACTGAGGTAGTATTTACTTTCCTGCCCCTTCATTTTGGGCAAGGGGAGAATATACTTATCTTTCTATCTGTCTCCCTCAAAAGTGCCCATTAGAAAGCTAAAATCAAGAAAGATCGAAAGGAAATGGAGAAGAGAGTCCATATTTTTAGGTTCCCCTGGGTGCTGGGAAGCATGGCGGGTGGGCACCTTTGGCCTTGATTGAAACAAACATCTCACCATTTCATCAAAGCACTATTTAGTTTTGTCCTGGAATCCTTCCAGGTTCCTCACTTTTGTTCTTGTTTTTGTCTCATCTTTCAGCCATTTCCCCAATGACTGAAGACCTTCAAGGCTGTAAGTATATGCCACTTCCTCCATGAAGCCCTCCAGGAGTTCCTAGGTCAGAATCAAGCCCTCTTTTCTCTGTGTACCTGCAACACCTACTAATAAAGTCTAACATATTACTTTTTTAATTATGATGCTATAATTTCACATTTAATTGTCTGAACATCTGCTCCTCAACCCAGCAGCCTCAAAAGCAGAGACCATGCCTAGTTCCAGGGAGGACGAGGAGCAGGGTGTCATGTGATTAAGAACACACTCTTTGGATTCAGACTGCTTGAGTGTGAGCCTCCAACCTCTTCAAAGGCAGCTCAATGCCACTAACTAGCCATGTGACCTTGAGTGGGTTATTTAACATCTCTGTACCTAATCTTGGTTTCTGCATGTGGAAAATGGGGATAATAAGAGTACCTACCTCATAGCATTAAATGAAGAAATCCATATAAAGTATTTAAAGCCCTTGCAACAGGATCTGGTACACTGTAAGTACTTAATAAGTATTCATCAGTATTCTTCTCTATAGCACTATTATCATCATCTTTATTATCATGCCAATCACTGCCATCACTACCATCATCACCACTGCCATCATCTCATCACCATCACCATCTCATCACCATCACCATCATCACCATCATCTCATCACCATCATCATCTCATCACCATCACCATCATCACCATCATC